ATCGATACTCGGCAGTAATTCACTACCTTTTCATTTCATTTGTGTATCTATGCATGCGTGTGTACGTGCTACTTATATTTTATAAATTAAAACACTTGATATGTTTCTAGCGAAAGTTACTATGTTCCTTAAGATAGATCTTAAGATAGATCTTAGTGACAATCTATTGCTAAAACTAATGAAGGAAAGGTTAATAAAGTTGAAAAGAATTTATATAGAAAAAAGTAGTTCTCTCCGTGTATCATTCAACAAAGAAAAATCTTTGCTTTTATTGTTCAAAAATAATTTTCATTAATGAAGAGCACAAAATATTGAATTGAGGATATGATTTTTTTATTTGTGTATTATATGCTCTAGGTTTTTTTCCTCTATCTACTTAAAACTAATATATTCAAATTGACAATGTCAATGTCATCGTTTCAGGTATATAATTTCGTTCGAAGAATTTTATCACCTGGAATTTAAACAATTATTTGTATCACATATATTGATGTGTAAGTAAATTATTTTCGTTTAACGCTGTGTAATCGCATTTGAAAGTTAACATGTTAAAATAAAAATACTCTTCAAATAAAAATTTTTGTGCTTACGTACACCTTATACTCCTTATATATTGAAAGAAAAAAATGATCAATTTAACTGAAGTTATAGCTTTTTTTTAGATCCAAACATATTTTTGGATTGTCTGACACGAAAATGATGATAGTAACATAAGAGGCTATTGTCACTAACATTATAGTAGAATTTAATAAAAAATAGTTTCCTTAGTCATATTTTATGATAATTACTTCTTTATGTAATAATAGTTAATAACAGATACTAAACATTTTTTTTTCTCAGTGTATCCGTGTAAACTCGTTAGATAAGGATACGTCGATGCAATTAAAGAAGCTGCTCGAGCAAATCGCAGGTAATTTCCTGCGGTTATGACCGCGTGTCCGCTGGCGGTATTCCAAACGAGCAGCTACGTGACATTTGCAGAAGTATCGTGATTATTATAATATCGTGGGACGTTTCTCGCGAGAACGAGAAACACACCGCGACTTCCGCAGCTCCATAAAATTAATTCGCACACACAGCACACATAAAAAATATACTGTTATTATAATATATATATATATATATATATATATATATATATATATATATATATAATGTTATCTATGTTTCTCTTTGTCGTATAAAATAATAAATATACAGGACGCCCAAAAGTCGATTACCATTCCTAATTTTGTAGGATTTTCACTAAATCAGTCAAAGTTATTTTGAATGTTCGTTATCTGTATAAAATGTTATAAATCTTTCAAATCAGTCACCAAGTTATTTTATATTTTTTTAATATTAAATTATATTAAATTAGTATATTTAATATATTATGATACTGTATACTATAAATATCCACTAATAAACATAAAACATACATAAATATAAATATTTGTTAAATAACATTTTAATAATAATTATATTGAATAGTTATTAACTGTTAAACAGCAAATTTAAAATGTAGGACTTTACATACATAAATAAATACACACTGCATTCAAATATTTTATAATTTTATGTATTCACAATCTATCATAAGTTCATCATAAGCATCAAATTTCTTCAAGCTACATTCTAAATCCTAGTAATTTTGTTTCAATTAAGAATATTAAATTAAAACAAAAATTCAATTTACTCACTGCATAAAGTCACTGCATCAAAGTCGAATCAACTTCTTCTTCTTCGATAAAGTTTTATAATAATCTCATAGAAAGAATAAATTATCTTTATGAGTACACTATAAGTGCATGTTTCTAAAATTTGTTGATTAAGTTAATAATAAATGTAAGTTAATAAATTTTATTTCACAAATATAAACTTTATTTCACAAAAATAAACTTCACATTTTGCAAATGAATTTTCAAGTATTCTTTTTTTCTGAAAGTTCGAAATTTAAGATTATTATAGAAAATATTCTTTGTTGAAGATGACCATTAAAAAAAAAAATAAAAGTAAACTGTCGCTTTTCTTAGCAGCAGAATAATCTTTTCCTATGTGCATTATTACAAAACGTTAACTGATCCCGATAACCGCGTTGGATGTAATCTCATCTCGGTACGATATCGATGTAATGTTTAAAGAGCTCACACGGTTAAAATTATAACACTGCACGACAAGAACGCAGCCATGCAGACTCGGTAAATTCGAGGAAAAGAGAACGAAAGAAAATATCCTTTATGCCGCGAGAGCGATTCTAATCGGGGAGCTGTTTAAGAGCGTTGCTTTCGTTGACATCACCGCCGACTGGATTGTAGATTCGCCTTGCGATCTGGTTCAGGGATCGCGCGGTCGCGTTAAATCAGCCACGAGACAGGCAAGATGAACACATCTGCGGAGCGCGACGCGAAGGTTGCGCAAAACGCACGCTCGCGCTCTTATCAGCCCGAGACGTGGTAGATTGAGAGCGGAAAGAAATTCATCGCTCTGCTTCAGCGAAATTCCGCGGCTGCATTCGAGCCGCGTAATTATTCGCGTAAGTTGGTCGCGCGTATCTCGCGATAGCCGATGAAAAAAGTGCTGTTTAGTAGCACGCAGCCGCGTAAGAACAAATCATCGATGACCGTTTTTATCTCTCCCGGGAAGAGAAACACATAAATAGAACGCGCGATTACAATGGAAATCGCTGTCTAATTTCTCCGTGAAATCGGTGGAATTTGAGAGAAATTAATTCGTCGTGCAACTATTTTCACCGATATTTTTTATCGCACGCATTTTTTTTCCTCCGAAATAAAAGATATGATTGTTGTATGGATTGTTGTTTATTATATAGTTTCCTTTTTTCCATATAAATTCTTTTCAATTCTACTATGTTTCTAATAGGAACACTAACTCCTAGACTGTCAGTAAGTCTAGCTTTCTAAGAAATATAATAAATTTCGCTGGAAACATGCATAGAGAAAAAAATCTAAACAATAAAGAAAATGTTTATTCAGTGAGTATCAATAGCATATTTAGTTACACTAATATACATATTTCTTTTACATAGAAAAAATATATTTTTCAAATAAGATGTGCATTTTCTTAAAATCTTAGCTTTTCAGAAAAGCACTTGTTTATACTATAAAAGAGATTTAGATTCAAGTAAATATGTTCTCAGTATCCATCTAATAAATATTTTATTATTTTTTAGATATTCTTTCTGTCAGTGTAGCAAATTTTTTAATAGCTCATTTCAGTTACTAAAATTTAAATAGCACCATGAGGATAGTCAATCAATGCGGAAAAATGTCAATCTATTTTACAATTACAAAATCCTATGGCAATTTTGTACGTAATGTAAAATTCGCTCCGTACGGAGAAGGAATTTGAAGAAACGCGAATGTGCACAGCCAGAATGTCGTTCGTTAAGAATCGCTGACCGATCGTTCCGCAAATCTCAATCATACTCCTCGCCCTTCCGCAAAGGGTCGATGATCCTTTCGCGATTTGTGTTCGCGCGATTTCAGCCGAGCGGCACGTACTTGCCCCGAAAGTCGCGTTCAAGCTCGTAAGCTTTGAGAACCGCTGGGGCATGGTTGATTGTTGGCTTTGCTTTTTCCCTCCTCTCCTGTTTCTACCCCTCCCCCATCCCTCTTTCCCTCCGTCCCCCTCCTCTTCTCATGATAGTATTACACAGCTCACCCCGCGCGAGCGAGCGAGCGAACGCGCGCCGTTGTATTTCATTGTTGTGAACGCATGCAAATTGCGATCCCAGTGCCGGGGCCGCGAGTATCAATTCTAACAGAATTAATTCGAGTGCAGTCATTGTTTTTTGCGCGTCACAAAAAACCCCTCTGTACACGCGGGCAGCATCGCGCTTTGCCCCCGCTACGAACAATATCCGGTTCATACGAATGGTTGCGCGCGTCGTCTCTCCCTCTCCCCTCCCCCTCCCCGGCCCCTCGTCATCCGCGTGTGTTCTCGCGACGGTGGGTTCCCGTTTGGAAATTGGAGCGAATGGGCCGTGGGCTCGATATAACGTCGGCAATCGATCATTTTATTGGTAATTATCGTCAACGTTTCGTCAGCGATGTCGGCGCGCCCCGGTAGCGTCAAAAAAACAGGATTGAGTAATATAGCGTCGCTAATTCGCACAACTGGACGCTCGCGTTTCATCATGCGCGCATATACGGCCAGTTGTCAGTGAATAACCTCGCTTTTGGTAACAAATAGCCGTAAATAGCGCGACTACCGGCGATAAAAAATGCGGGAGTATGATCTTTTAAAAAGGGTGCGTCAGTATCCGTTCAGTATCCGATGAATCGTGCGAGTCTGTACGTATAAATGTTGGTTGAAGAGAAGAAGCTGTGATACGTATACACAGAAAAATATCATTCCACTGCTAAGAAAAGCAATTTTACTTTCCTTCTTTTACGTAAAATGGCTATTTTTAACATAAGAATATTTTCTTGATAATACATCAAAAAAATCGCATCTATTTAAAAAAAAAACATGTGCTCAAATCAACAATTATTGTTTCATATATAAGTTATTATATAACGATATGTAATTTTAATTTAACGATATATAATTTTGTTAGAATTTTGAAATATCGCATTTCAGTAATATTATAATTTTATTTGATTATTATAATAGTCTTATAAGAAGTATAATATGTGTATGTGTGTGATTATTTTAGAATTCATTGTATTTAGGATTCAGAATGTATTTTAAGTAAATGGAATGCTCATGATGAACTTATAACAAATTTGCAGATACATAAACTTATAAAATACTTGAAGCAAGGAATATTTACTTGAATGCAATATGCATTTTTCACAAAAGAGAGAGAGGAAGAGAGAGAGAGAGTGAGAAAGAGATGTGCACCTTTTAGAGAAAAACACTTTTAATAATTATTATGAATCGAATGACTAATTTTTACTTTCTTTGATGATAATGAATTTAGTATAATTAGTGAATTTAGCGTCGAGAAAATATCTGACTCATTATGTAAATTTTGTGCAATATTTGTGTTATAGAAAGACGACTTTAACGCCGTCAGCTCATTACTACGTAAATACCTTCCTGAAAAGGACACTCCGTACATCTTGGATATCGACCTCGACTTCTTCAGCACCAAAAACCCGTTCAAGAGTCTTCACGAGCGCGTAAACCTCTACGAGAAACTGTCTCCCCTATTTACGTACAAGCGACCGGAATCAAGCGATCCTGTGGTGAGTCTCAGTTTTGAAGCTACTTAAACGATGTAATCGTCAGTGGCAAAGCATTGCGTGCATTTTTCGGATGCGATTGAAAGCATCCGGTGGAGCGTTTGTGAGAGCGGAACTCACAATTCCTGAACTATTAGGTCGTTGCGAATCAAACGTCTGATGATCACAGGAACCCGCGGACAGCAGACGAATATTCCCGTGCTCCAAAATATAATATCAGACCGTTACAAATGAAACGATCGACTTTTTACATTTTTAACAAGTACGCGTAAAAAATGAAATTATTTATTCATGACAAAATCAAACAGTAATGCGACGAAAACGTTGTCATCTGAGTTGAAATTTTGATTTCATATTAATGCTACAAATTCTGTCGAAATTTAGGAGGACATTATACAGGACATTATTGTCCTGCCTTCATGCAAGATTTATTAAAATGCCATTTTCTTTATGCTGAATTCACATGAATGAATATTAATATGAATATTATATATTATCATACTATAAATATTAAATAATTCTAAAGTCCTTTTTTATAAGACTTCAGGATTATATAATAATCAATTATTTTAATACGTATAATATGTATATGTAAGGATGTGAGTAAAATAACAAAATTCAGTTTTCTATAATTTTATTATAGAAAATTATTTATTTTTTCATTGGTGTTGGAAGTGTATATACATGAATTATATAGGATCTTATTTAGGGTCTTAAATAAATTTATCTAATAATATTATTAATCTATAATAAATTTATTGTTTTTAAAGATAAATAAATGAAATTAATAATAATTTATCTCTAAAGCCAATATCACATATATAATTAATTTGAATTAAATAAGAAAGCATTTAATTATTTAATACATAATATATGATAAATAAAAATTTGATATATACAATAACCTAACTAAAATTTATTTACGTCACGGCGCTATCTGCCTATCACTATCTTGATGTATCTGGAAATATATGATGCGTCGTTGCTCGCGCGTCCGGCGTCCTGGCTTTCCGACCCATTATCCTGCTCTTGGCTGTCCCCATCATTGCACTCCGGATACTAGCTCGTGGTACTGACATTTGCACTGATATTCGATCCGATCGGAGAAACGCATGTCAATTAACATGATGTCGGGTGGAGAGTTCGGTTAAATATTTCACGGGCGAAATACAATTCAACGCACGATTACAGAAAAAGCGGTGCAACTTGCGAGAATATCAAAACAATCCGCGAGAGAGAAACGTTAACTTACCCCCCTTCCACCGAACACCAAACATTGTCGCGCGTCACGGAGTCGTGGAGCGCGAGATCACAACAACCAAAACAGTCGGGACCTTCAAGGTGATCGTTTGATCATACGTATCCCTACGTCTCGTGAATCTTTCCACGTGTTTCCATTCAGTCCCGGGCCGGTGAACGGCACGCGTATTACGGACTACGTGCTTTGTCTATTGTTTCCTACGGCTGATTAAACTCTTTCGCCACTCCTTTTACGATACTCGGTTAGTCGGCATCGTCTCATTTAGCACGTGTATCTTGGATCGAATCGTATCTACGCGAGTGTCAGTGTCAGTGCAAGTGTCAATGTCACAACGGAGCAGCCAAGATGTTGGATTGAGACGCTAGGACGGAGGAAGCAGCGCGTCAAGAAGCGATACTTTATACATTTCCAAGGTATGTCAAATCAATTATTACACTGCAGTTTGCTTTTTTAACGACCGTTTGGCAAACTTACCGAGGATAAAGAAATATTCGGGCCGAAATTGAAGTCTGCATTCATATATAGTCCACTTGATAAATAATCTATTTAGAAAATAATTATATATATATATATACATATATATCGTAGTAATATATAATAACTACTGTAGCTTCATGAATCTCTGTAATTACTCGCCAATCTGTGCACTTGTGCTTTTTACATTATTCCGTACAAGAAACATCAATTTTAAACAGGAACACACACGAATCTGTAACTCTAATTTTGTTCTGAATCAAGAATCCTAAATAATTTATAATTGTGAATACCGGCTTTATAATCTAATCTAATCCAAATATTGCAAGTGCTGATTTTTACGCCTAATAATGCTCCTTGAGATAGCGAGTATATGATATCGTTCATATCTGTTCTCTTTTTTATTTTCGTTTAATCTTGTTATATAATACAAGAAATTCAAATTTAAATAATTTCCATTAATAAACAGCTTTATTGGACATATAACTGTGTCTTTGCCTTTACAGTTTCTTGATATCTGTTTTGATAGCTCTCATCGATATTTCCAACGCCAAAGAAAAAAAGTAATTATAAAATTAAAAATTATTTATTTTTTATTCATTTACACCAATCCTTATTTTATCATTTAATATTTGTTTATTTTACTGTGCTCTATCTGTAACTTAGAAAATTATACAATTAATATATTGCTGTTTAAAATTAAGCATCACTACTGAGAGTACCCATAAAAAATATTGAGATACTCAAATATTTAATAATCCTGAAACGAGTCTTTTCTTAAGACTCAATATGGAGAAAATAGCAATAAATAATCGTTTGTATCATCAAGGTAGGACAATAATTTGTGTAGTTGCGTCTATCTCGATATTTCTCATTGATCTTTCAAATTCGACGAAATTTACAGGATTAATGAAGAATCAAAATTTCAGCACGAATACTTTCGCGTGTCGTCCTAACAGATAATTAAGTTTCTTTATCTGTGTTGACTCACTCGCGAAAGATGACGTAATTCACCAGACCGGGATAATTGGAGAAAATTACACCTGATACATAGTATCGTGACTGTTTAAAATTATAAAGAAATGACTAATGCGTTATCATATTAGTGAGCTCGAAATAGCGGACAATGGTATCATATTGTATTTACGCTCATAATGATTCCGACGTGATGTCATGTTTCATAGAACAACAAGAACGTCATTAAACGAATTTATCTTTCGAAGAGAGTCCCACCTAAATCATAATACATGCAGAGTTCTATCTTATTTTGTTGCATGCTCAAATATAAATAAACATTTGGGATATCTTGATATTCTACACAGAGAAGAGGAAATATATATACAAGTCCCAGAACAATTTCCGAAGCTCTCGTAAAGGCATAGTACGGATTGAGGTGAACATAAAAATTTTTAATTATTAGTTAAAGAAGATTGGTCACTCGCAATAATATATTAATGTTTTCTAATTAATAACTAAAATTCTACAAAGTTATTAGAAAAAAGTAGAGGACTTTTTTGTTCAGTTTGACATAATGTGCAAGCACACGACAACAGATGTCGCCACTACAGCTCATTTACTATATCTCGTGTGATCATTCACAAATCTTTTTGAATTAATATCTAAATAATTACTGCGAATACCGTAAAACAGTATAGGACTTTTATGTTTACCGTAATCCGTATTATGCCTCCACAAGAGAGAGCGCGCGCGGAGGTTGTTCTGAGATACCTTGTATATACTTGGAAGTTTGCTTAAATAGAAACTGTTTCGTAGGAATCGTCTTTATTTCGTAAAGACGTACTTTATAGACGTACTTACCTTACAAATCAATTTTCAAGTATTCTCTTTCAATATATTCAGGGAATATATAATATAATATATATAAATTTCTTAATATACTCTACTTAATATATAATATAATATATATAAATTTCTTAATATACTCAGGGAATATATAATATAGTATATATAAATTTTTCAGGGAGAAAATTATATATATATTTTTTTTTGCATATAAATTCTTTTCAGTTTTATTATGCTTCTAATATAGTAGACAGAGGAATAGACTGTCAGTAAGGTTTAACTTGCTAAAAATATAACAAATATTTTAATAACTAACTTCACTTCCTAACACGTAAATAATAGTACACATGAAATGAAAATATGTCTGAAATTATTTCAGATATTTATATTCCTAGATTACAAAATTGCACAGCAATTTCTACCACAAAATTCTTCCCGTGTGTGCGCTAAATAAGAGAGATTAAACGCGAAACTTATCAGACCTTAAAATCCGTGATTCCCAATCACGACGTCAAATCGAATTAACGATTGGACAGGAGTTTCGAAGAGCAGACCTCGAATATCACGAAATCCCGATCGTGCGGGGGGAGACGAGGTGGAAGGCAGATCGGACAGATCGCGAGACGAATCGGCGAGCAGCTTCGGGAACGGCAGAATTTCGCGTGCCGGAGGTGGAGGAGGAGAAGGAAAGGGATGAGAGGGAGGAGGAGGAGGTTGGGTGGGCGCTACCGGCAACGAGCGGAAGATTTGCGAATAATTAGGTGGACCGACAATAGCCGAGGTCCCGCGGCCAGGCCGGATACACAATGTGGTCTGCCACCAGCGGGATAATAGACAGAGAAGAACGACTCTATGGGGTTTTAGGATTCGACGGACATAATGGCACTGGCCTATTGTCTACGTAGCTGCAGACTGCCAACATCCGCCTCCGGGGTCGACCATGTCGGCTCATCTGCATACCAGCTTACAACCCTTCGGCCGTTTAGTCCCGAGCATCGAAAACG